CCATTTGACCTTGCATGGACCTGTGGTGCTGTGTGCATCTGCATTGTGTGTGTTATTATAACTGCAAAAACCAAACTGTACTATGAAAGATATAAACCTGGCTTTAAATGGTCAAAACTTAAATCCAGAATTTTGTAGCTGACTGAAAAGTTTCTAGTAACTCTGTTTTGTTAAGTAAGGCAAAGCATATTTATTTGTGTAGCTCAATTCAGTACAGAGATTCAAAGTGGTTTTCATGAATTAAACTGTAAAACGGAAGAAAAAAAAAGAAAATGACTTATGGAGTTAATATAACGAAACATATGACAGAATAGAACAGTCTAGCCGTACAGTTAGTTCCCACATGTATTTTAAGCAGTTTTTCCTTTATTATCAGCTAACATTGGTGACTTTCATGGTCTTCCTAACAAAGCCAGATATGGGATTATTGGTGTGCAGGAAATATATAGTCCAAATCCACAAATGGAAGTGATTCGTGAGGATCAGGCGGCTTTCTGCCAGGAAATACCTGTCATAGATGGTGATTCAGTGATTCCTATTCTTTTTAAACAGACTAGTTTGTCAACTGCATCAACGAGTGCACAATAAGGCGAGCCAGAATGTCCTCAGAGTTATGCAAAAATGAATTTGTGAGTGTGGTACGCAACAGCTTGCATGTTTGTAAAAAGCCTGCAAGGGAAAAGTTGAGTTTAGGAGCCAGGAACTCTGCAGCTCTTACATAAGATATAGGAGAAGTCGCTTGAATTGCAATGCGTCCGGGGTATCGCAGAGAGAACAGCTTCAGCGGCCACGGTGAATATTGTGCAGAGCAGGGGGCATCCATGTGTGAATGAACCGCTGCAGCAGCAATAACATGGAAGGCGTGGAGGAACAGAATGGTATGTTGAGCAACGGTTTCTGTGTTTTGTCACGTCGGTTTTTATTAGGTGTGTGTGCATGTGTGAAAATGGCTGCATAGGAGGGGCTGTAGATCAGAACAATTTAAAGCCAAATATTTCAATTTTCAGACCGTTTTTCCACTTTTTGATTATTTTAACTTCAGAGAGACTTTTGTAGCTGGAGCCATTAGTACAGCGAGGTCCTGCAGACGGTCTGCATGTACTCTACATGCTTTCCCCGGTGCATGTATGCATGCATACTCTGGGTTCCTCAGGTTAAAACATTAGCTTGACCGGTTGCTCTAAAGTTGCCCTTTCGCCTAAATCTGAGTAGTTTCTCCTGTGTGTCTCTGAGTTTATCCTTTGATGGAGAGATAACCCGTGAAGAGCAAACCCTGCCTTGGCCCTGCAGGGGCAGGAGGGGTTAAGATGATGGATCCATGGAACTCAGTCCTTTTATCATCTTTAGTCAGGATTTTATTTGAGATGAGAACAAAATGAAATCCATTTTTATTGAACTACTGAAAGAGGTTTGTTTAGCAGGTAGCTTGACTGTGCGTTAGACTGTGCCTCTGTTAATGAAATAACTTCAATAAAAGTTGGTTATTTTAAGGTGTTTAAGCTGCTGTCTAATTAAACAGGCTTTGTAGTTTATTTAGTTTGAAGTAGTAGTTAAATGCTAATCTAGTTTATCAGTAAAGCATTTGTCATAACCTTTATGAAAACCTGATTATCCTGCTCTGACCAATTAGTTTGATCCCAGCTATGGTGTCAGAGGAGCAGAGATATTTAGTCTGATTGACAGCAAATAAAAAAATGACAACAAACAGCATTCAAACTTTCTGAAGCTGTTAATTAACTTCATCCAAATAAAACGTCTCTTTCAGGACCGAGGAAGGAGCCGCTCCTTTGATCTCAGTTTCTGGGCGAATTTACTGGTTTGTTAAATGGAATACATTTTGTAATGTGTTTGTTTTTGAATTCCATGCATGGTTATGAGGTTTGGTGTTTCAGTGATTTGCTGTGGTTTGTTTTTAGTTTGGTGGTTTTTACTTATGAATTGGATGCGTTCATTCGTGGTTCCCAAAATGTGGGGCCTCCCTAATGGGGGCCGGTGTAAATGCAGGTGGGGTCATGGTATGAGGGTATGGGGGAGTAACTGTATTATTAACACATTTTTTTATGTATTGATTTTGAATCCTGTTACACAATAACATGAGCAGTTAAACTTAAATAGTTACACTTTAAATGTGGTAGTTTTGTAACCTAACTGAGAAAGTAGTCTAATTTCTTACAATTGTTGTCATTCGACTGTTGAAAAGCAAGGGCAGTGTTCGTCAGACCAGTATACCCATACTCCATACAAATTTATCCCTGTAGTTTATCCCTGTTTATCCTTTTAGTTTATATATGTAGTTTATCCCCTTAGTTTACATATTTAGTTTATGCCTTTAGTTTTACCCCTTAGTTTACATATTCAGTTTATCCCCTTAGTTTACATATTTAGTTTATCCATTTAGTTTACATATTTAGTTTATGCCTTAGTTTTCATATTTAGTTTACCCCTTAGTTTACATATTTAGTTTATTCCCTTAGTTTACATATTTAATTTATCCCTTAGTTTACATATTTAGTTTAACCCCTTAGTTTACATATTTAGTTTATCCCTTTAGTTTACATATTTAGTTTACCCCTTAGTTTACATATTTAGTTTATGCCTTTAGTTTTACCCCTTAGTTTACATATTTAGTTTATCCCCTTAGTTTACATATTTAGTTTATCCATTTAGTTTACATATTTAGTTTATGCCTTAGTTTTCATATTTAGTTTACCCCTTAGTTTACATATTTAGTTTATCCCCTTAGTTTACATATTTAGTTTACCCCTTAGTTTTCATATTTAGTTTACCCCTTAGTTTACATATTGAGTTTATGCCTTTAGTTTACATATTTAATTTATCCCTTAGTTTGCATATTTAGTTTACCCCTTAGTTTACATATTTAATTTATCCCTTAGTTTACATATTTAGTTTAACCCCTTAGTTTACATATTTAGTTTATCCCTTTAGTTTACATATTTAGTTTAACCCCTTAGTTTACATATTTAGTTTATCCCCTTAGTTTACATATTTAGTTTACCCCTTAGTTTTCATATTTAGTTTACCCCTTAGTTTACATATTTAGTTTATGCCTTTAGTTTACATATTTAATTTATCCCTTAGTTTGCATATTTAGTTTAGCCCTTAATTTACATATTTAATTTATCCCTTAGTTTACATATTTAGTTTACTCCTTAATTTACATATTTAGTTTATCCCTTTAGTTTACATATTTAGTTTACCCCTTAGTTTACATATTTAGTTTATCCCTTTAGTTTACATATTTAGTGTATCCCTTTAGTTTACATATTTAGTTTACCCCTTAGTTTACGTATTTAGTTTATCCCTTTAGTTTACATATGTAGTTTATCCCTTTTTTTGTACAAAAAAATAGACTAAATTACGTTAACCAGCGTGACTCCCTTTAGTCATGTATAAAAAAAACTATTTAATTACCTAGTTTTTGCTGTTTTTTGAAGCGTATGGCGATCTGACCTTACATTGTGATTACTTTTTTTTTTTTTTTTTCAAAAACTAAAACCGTCCAAAAAGAGATCCAACATCATTAAAGTGTTTTTATTTTCCTTTCTGCTATTCTAGTAAACTGGTTGTTTACTAGAACAACCAGTTTACGGTCTCCTATCTATTGTTCTCTGTTAGCCCCAGTGCTAAGTTGGTCTCGTTCCTAATTCAAACAAATTCTAGTTACTGAACCAAACTTTGTTTTCATGCTGAGCTTTGATATCGCTCTATTGTTTTTTCCAGTTATCTTCCCTTTATTTATTGTTTTTATTAATTGCTTTTCTTATTCTTTATTAGTGTAGTTTCATATTGATAGCCTGCTTAAAGGTTTCTCTCAGCCGGAGCAGCGGAGCGGGGTTCAGGCACAGGGGTACATTGGAGTCCGCAGGGCACGCATCTCGTCCCTGATTGGTTACTGCGACACCAATATAAACAAAGTTCAGGCGAAGCAGCAACAAATTTAGCTGTGATCACAAACACAATATCATGATTTGACTGGAATGTATTTGGATTACATAATTGTACCAGATTGCACCGTTTATATAGACATAAATACAAAACCGGCAATTGGGCTAAAAAGGTGCCCTGGTAATACGGGATGGGGAATATTCAGACTGTCACTTTAAGCTGCAATGAGGTCAGCTTGCCTCCTGCAGAATAACTAGATATTTATGCTGATCAGCATAAAACGCGACTCCCAGATGATTACAGTTTTGTTCTGATCCTGACGCCATTTGTGTAACTGGCTCTTTCCTCACATGAGCCAGTGAAGCCCTCACCACCCTTAACCAGCAGGCGCTGGAACCACACCAACGCCCATTTTCTTTTTCATCCCGGTGGCGCCAGTGTACGGCAGCCTTGCTTCTGTCAGTGAGCCCCAGAGCAGCTGTGGCCACAGCTGCCCTGTTGTTTGCCACCATCAGTGTGTGAGTTTGTGCGTGAATGGGTGAATGACTGAATGTAGTATAAAGCGCTTTGGTCAAGTCTCCTAACTTGAAAAAGCGCTATATAAGTACATGCCATTTACCATTTATTTCATCCGTTTGTTCATTGTTTCATTTGCTGACTTCGAGTACTATTTTTGGTGGATCCAAGGAAGGAGCGGCTCAGGTCCGGAATAAGGTTCCTGATTGACCGTGGGAGCCAGTTTACCTTCTGACCTGCATTCATGGACCAGCTGATCCATTCCTGTTTATATGCAGACTAGTCACTGTTAGAATCAATGATTGCTGAAGCAGGAGGTGGATATCATTAGATTATTTAGCCTTTTTCCTTTTTAGAGATCATTTTGTTTCATAAGATTTGAGTATTAAACTACAGATTTGAGATCTTTTCATTTTCTTCTCTACTTCAGAGAGAACGTTTCCTGACTCTCCTTTAGCTTTGTTCCAGGCTGCGGCAGGCCATGACTGTGTCCCTTTCTTTGTATGTCAGGGCCAGCTGGTTTAACAGCCTATAAATAGCCCTGAATGACCTCCAGATCCATACCAGGCTCATAAACAAGTGTACCTTACTGACTGTCTGCAGAGAAAACAAGTCAGGAGGGAAGGGCTAGATAGAGAAACACAAAGAGGGAGTGAGGGAGTGGAGGACGGCTGTTTTTTAAGTTGCCTTAAGTTCTCAAGCCCTCAGAAAGCAGGGATGGGGGATCCAGCAAACCTGGTGGAGTCCATCACACCTTCCGTGGTCACAGCAACTCCTGCAGCGGTAGCCGGGGAAATGCAAGGTGAGGAACAGGTCACTGGGATGTATGGGAGGACTGGGAACCTTCAAGGTCCCTTAATGGGACTGGCTGTCGAGTTCAAAGTGAAGAGCCATGTCGTCTGAAGCTCCGGTTCTTCTGGTTTGGTATCAGCTCTTCCTGTCCTACTAATTCTGTGTTTTATTATCGGTTATACTAAACATGAATAACAGCTATTTAATGGATTTAGTTTCCTTCTAAGTTTCTAACACCTACTTGTTGAACTGAATTCAAATCAACCTGAAAAAGCGGACGGTTCTTCTGCTACTACATTCATTTAGTTTTCATGCAAGGATCTCATTTATGTTCAGTTCAACAAGTGCAGCTCAGACCTCTGAATCAGACATTTTTCTGTTCAAATCCTTCCTGACAGCTGAGCGTTTCCATGACGATTAGACTGAAGTAACCCTTCATGTGCCTCAGGCGGTTGGTAAACTTTCAACTCAGAGTCAAACTCATCACGGAGGTGTGTCTTTGAAATCTGACCTAGCAACACACATCTCCTTTACCACCTGTTCATTCTCTCTGCCATTTCTCCCATCATGCTTTGCGGGGTATCTTGACCACACCCAGAATAACTTTCTGGGTGTGAGTGGGGCTGTCTGGTTTGGCTGCCTTCTTACCTCTAGGGCTGACTGTGAAGATGACGAATACATCAGGTTGATTTACCTGAAAAATATTTGACTTTTTATGTTAGGGATTCACCAATCAGTTGTTCAGAAGTAGGACATGACTTTTTCTTTACTTGAAAGAATGAAAGGAACAGTTTACTGCAGGAAGACTCAGTTTTTATAGCGGTTTCAACATTTTAAACTGAAATTCTTTTTTTGTTCGGTGGTTTAAATTTATAACTAAATAAAAGTTATTACATCAGGTGCTTATCAGCTAAAATGTTGATGCTACTATTAAAAAGTCCTAAATGGAATTCTAAGTGATGACTTTAGAGGCCGTTGCTCCTTCTTGTCATAAGTGGCTTTCTTTAATTTCCTCACCATGGCTTTTTTATTTCTGGATACCTTGACCAAACAACTGATTTGTCCTTTTTCAGCCAAAACAGCATGGCAACAGGTAGGGGAGGGGGGGTCACTGTTAGGCCGGCTTTGCATCATTCCCATTCTGAAGGTACAGTGCATTGATGGGGGGAGGCAGAGGGGAGGAAAAACACTTTTTTCATCTAAAAATTAGATTATTTTTAAGGCCCTCCTGCATAAAACACAACTTCGTAACTTGTTATATCTCTCTGAGATAAAACTTTGCGGCTTTAAAACTGTGAAGCTCTCCCTTTCTAACTATGGAGAAAGAGGTTCTCCCACCTGAGTCTGGGCTTTCAAACGAAGCATAAAGCACATCTACGCTCCTACAGCTTTAACACAGTTAGGCTGCTTTTCTTCTGTGCTTTTATCAGTAGGAAAATAATACAGCATTGAAAACATCAGAATTAGAAATACTTTAATAATACACGCTCCAGATACAGAAATGTATATATATTAGGGATGGAACGGTTTTTGAAAACCGTCCGAACCGTTCGGTTCGCTTGTGTTGCGTTCGGTTCATGCGCTGCTCCTACTCAAAAAATAGTTTGAGTTGATTTTTTTTATTTATTTATTTTTTTTTGTACGCAGTTGTAAAAGAACAAAATTTGTCTGAAACAGAGACATTTGGAAAAAGCTAATTAAAACAAAATAATAAAAAAAAAAAATAACCTAAAAATAACAGAAGTTATTCCCAAAGTTATTCCTGTTATTTTTTTTCTTTCTTTTTTTTTTTTTTTTTAATTTCCATTTCCAGAAGCTGGTTTCTATTTGCAACAATAATGGAAGAAAAGTGACTCCATAGAGGAGAGGGCCCTCGTCGGCCTTTAATCCTCAGCATTTCTGGTATCTGCTCCTTTGCAGCAGCCAAACAGGAGGAGTTCTGCCTTTCAAAGTGACCTCCAGCAGGCGTCTCTGAGCAGACCACTAAAAATATACTCCTGATGGTTGCCTGATGGCCTGTTCCCGCTGCCCGCCATTCAAACCCCAGAATGCAGTGACATTTTAGCTAACTGGCCTGGCTTCCTGCAGCATTATTTTTGTTGTTTCTCACGTTTAACACATTGCCTGTCATAATTTCTTTTATTAAGATCTGGTGCCTTCCAGCTGTTCCTTTTGTATTGAAAGTAAAGAATGTGTTGGAAGAGAAAATGGAAACTGGTGCATGCAGAGAATTATGATTTGCTGTTCTTCATTTAGCATGGATTAAGAGAAAACTATCCAAGTCCAATCCTTAAACTTGTGTTTTGCTCTTTTTGTTCTAGATGGGTCCAAAACCCAGTCCGTCAATAAGAATGGAAAAAAGTCCGACTCTGGATCCAGCAGCAGCAGTTTCTTCACCTGGTTCATCGTGCTGGCCCTGCTTGGCGTCTGGACATCTGTAGCCGTGGTCTATTTTGACTTAGTTGACTATCAAGGAGTTATTGGTGGGTACAGCTGCTCCATGGAGAAGCTCCTCTGTCGATTCTTACTTCATGTGTTTGTAGATGTAAAGCTTTATTGCAATAAGTGAACTAAAAGAAAGTAAGATTTCTGCAAAGAAGCGTTTTTTGACTTTATTTATGTAAGTAATAAAATTAACTGCCAGCAGGAATAAAGTAGTTTCATTTTAAATAAAAAATTATATTTCTTCCCTTAATCTTATTTCAAGCCCAGTTACAGCAGTAAATAGAATTATCTGACATAAGGGGCCCATTTCATTGGTGGATAATTTTACTTATCTGCTCAAATAAATGGCAAGTCATATATTCAAGAAATTTGACTTATTTTCTAGATCAGTTTTCACCTGAAAGGTGAAGGTTGCCAGTGCATCATGTGTCTGCTTCAGTATATAATCCTGCTTGTTTGGGTCCTTTTCTAATTGTCATCTCAAACTTTACAACATTAAGACACACGCTGCTAAACTGTCTGTTGTTAGGCCTTTTAACGATGTTAATACAAAGCGCCACAATCGGGGGTGGACATCTTTAGATTCTTTGTGAAATTATTATGCAGTTGTGAGTCAGAAAGTGGCGATGCAGCTTAAATCCAAAAGCATCTGTCCTTTACAGAGCTCTGAAACGGCTCCAGAACGCATCATCATGGTAAAATGGCAGCATAGTGTATTTTGATTTATTTTTGTTGTCTTGCACTATTTCTTATTGTAAAATTGACTCTTCAAGCCCTAGCAAGTTGAGGTTAGCTGGTTAGGAAGTGAGGCTAATCCTATTGGATCATCGTCAGTTTTATTTATGCAGCACATTTAACACAACGCCAAAGTGTTTCCCACAGAGATCTCTGCAAACAATGAGATGTAAACATCTACAATCAGAAGGTTGCTGTAACAATGGCAATGCAAGCAGGGTAAAAGAAAGCTGCTTAATATAACAGGTTTCATGAAACCTATTGGGGTTCACACTAAGGATGCATGACGTTTGATTTTCTGGCCGATGTGTAATAATTTATATTTAAACTGGCCGATAACTGATACCATTATCTTTATTTTCCTTTGACCTACTTGAAGTTGAAGCCTTTGGACAGTAAGCATCTAGGGCTGGTTATACTCCTGCAGCAGTGTGTCGCAGTGAGCTTGTCGCAGGTATGAGGCAGATATTGTAATTATATGATTTATGCCCAATATTGAATACATGTTATTCCACGCCACAGCGCAAGAGGGACAATCACGAACTAGCTGTGGGTCTAGATACGGCCGAGGCGCTGAGGAAGTGGAAAAAGGCAAGGGGCAAGTTTGTCCGACAACGGAGGGACATGAGGGCGAAAAAGAGCGGGGATCCAGGTGGAAAAAGGGTGCCAGCGTTCCTGTGAACCTCACTCTTCTAGCTGGTTCATCTTTATCAGTCGTTTCCACAATGGCGGTCATACAAACAAAACAAGCCGCTAAGGTACCAAACAGGAAATATGCATAGTGTAGAGTGGATGTAGAATCGACCAATCAGAGGCCTCCTGTCTGCGGCCACCTACGATTTTGGAGAGATGCAGCAGAGTGTCTGCAGAAGGGGCGGGGCATATTTGCATTTATTGTGACACACATGCAGATGACCCTGTTTCTGAGGATAAATCAGCCTTTAATATGCAAACATCTAAATTACCTTTGGTGAAACTCAGTTTTGGACATTTAAATAATATCACAGGCTAGTTAGTAAGACCTAACATCGTTCAAAAAACGGGATAATCCAATAGTTTGAATGTTACACTTCCTCAGTTGAGTAAAGACTTTCCCCTCAGGTAGTCCCAGCTGTACAGGCTGGAAGAAGAGTCTGCTGGTGAACGGCGACAGATTTGCTGTGTTCCTCCAGGCCACCATAGTTCATTGTAACAGCTGGAATGCTGCTTCCTGAGATGGTTGATTTGAAATTTTCCCTTTTGCTCCTTCTTGACTCACTGACGCTGTGCAGTCATTGCAAACAGCAGTTCAGCTCTTTCTGGCCCTTTAGAAAACATCCGCAGCGCCAACATTTTCACATCAGCATCTCTTCATGGAAGACGCTTGGATCAGGCAGGAGCGCTTTACATCATAACCTCTGCAGGCTTATAGAAAAAAGCAGCACCTTTTATATTTCTGAGTTATTTCAGTGAGATATAAGATAGTGTTGAAGCTAACAGTGTGGTTAGCTGTTGATAATATCGTGCATCCCTGCATTTATGCATTTTATAGGTGGATCCTGGGAGGTCAAAGGTCAAAGGAAGAAAATGTTTTTTACAAACTGTTTATTCTTTTTTTGTTTTACATGCATGTATTATATCATCTGATTCAATCTGCACGTAAAACACAAACAATGCTTTCTTGTCTGTATATGGATCTTTGATAAATGTCGGCTGTATGATTTTCCTCTGTTTGTTTGCTAATCTTGCTATTTTTTTTCTTCAAATTTCTTGTTTTGCATGCAGACAAGGCTAGGGGCATACAGATTAACCTGTCTGAAAGCTTGCAAGGTAAAAAATCAAAACAAGATGACTGTCACTGTCTCATTTTTTTGTGATGTTAAATGCAGTAATCAGTCACTTTCTGCAAAGGTCTGTTCTAGATGTCTTAGTGTTGCTTAAACATGTTGAACGAGCCAAATTGCATTCTGCATGTTTAAAAGCAGCATGCTTGCTGAACTGGCCAGCCTGCAGACCTATCCCCGCTAAAACATCCTGCTCATTATGAGGTGAACCGTAAACTGCCAAACAACAAGCCTGAAAAAAATGTTCTTCTTATTTAGAAAGCAATTAAAACAATATATTCAAGGAGATTAAAACGATCTCCTTGAACCCCAGTCGGCCTCAGCAGATGGCCGCTCACACTGAGCCTGGTTCTGCTGGAAGTTTCTTCCTGTTAAAAGGGAGTTTTTCCTCCCCACTGTCGCTATAAGCATGCTTAGTGTGAGAGATTGTATTTGAGTCAATGAGTCGATGCAATCAACTGGCTTTCCTTAGATAGAAAATTTTGAATCAATATGACTGTATGATCTAGTGAACTATAAAGTGCCTTGAGATGACGTGTTGTGAATTGGCGCTATAGAAATAAACTGAATTGAATTGAATTAACTCATATTTAAACACATAGAAAATGTTTTTATTTTCCAAACCATTAAATGTTTTTTGTGTGTGTTCAGCAGCATCAACGCTTTTAGGAGCTTGAGTATAAGATCTGGGGTTGAAATTCACCAGATTGTATTTTCTCACTGTAAAACACTCAGATGCACAGATCTGTGCACCTGTGCATCTGAAATGATAGTCCAGTGTCACACTATGAAACATGCAGTAAATTGAAAAGCATCAGTAGCTTTTCATTAAAATATGATCAATCATTTACTTTATAATTTTAAAGAAGATGTTAGCTTTGTTTTCTCCTAAGATCCATGTATTATAGTATAAATCTAGTGCTTTATCCATTTGCCCCTCCAGGGCAACACTTTTCAGCAGGATGTAGACCACTGTTCCACACATAGTAAGAACTGATGTCAAGCTGCACTGAGCCGCGCTTAAAAACCTGAATACAGACCAAATCATAAAATAGTTTTTAGCCTCTGAACTAATTAAGGTTTTGATTGTGCCATAAATAATGAGATGATGTATCTCAGCAAACCCCTGTGAGAACAATCATGTTGTGCGTGTTTGTGGTTTCTGTAGGTAAACTGGCTGCATATGACACGGATGGAGATGGAGACTTCGATGTCGAGGACGCTAAAGTACTTTTAGGCAAGTGGATTTATCTCATTCATCAACAGGATAGTGTCCATTTTCCCTTTTTTAGGACAGAAACAAATGTTTAGTTTAGGAAATTGGTTTGATTTGTGCATGGACGGCTGGCACCTCGTTTGGATTAGCTGCTCAAATAATATTTGATTATTTTGGTTAGTTCACTCAAAAAAAAACACACTACTTGGTGGTAACATAAAGGATGAATATAAGTTTTCTATGAATCTTTACATCCGAAAAGGTTTGGTTAATCTTTGTTTATTCAACCGTCAAACCATTTTAAGTTTTTAACATCAGGTGTTTGTTCTACAGCAGGGTTTAAACTGTTAAACCGCTTTCTGTCTGATATTACAAAACATAATGAATAACAGAAAACTCCAGTCAGAAGGTCTTCATTCAAACTCCTACTTGTTTAAGTCTGTCTGTCTGTCAACAGAAGTTGACCCTCTAAGACACAGCCCCTCCTCATTTGCATATTAGGCAGAAATGCATACAGAAATGTAAAAATGACTGGCAGAAATAAATAGTGTAAAAAAATCCAAAGGAGAATAAAACAGAAAAAATATTATCACATGCACATAAATAAATACTTAAAAATATAAATATTAAATAAATTAAGTTGAAGATTATAAGGGACATAAATAAAGAAGGTAATTATTGCAAAGGTGAATAAATTAAGAAACTAATTAAAAGATATATATATATAAATTATATACTCTATAATTAATTTCTATCTACATTTATTTTCGGGGGCAGTTAATTTTATGCTTATTTATTTATTAAGTATTTATTTACTTCTGTACTTATTTTTAAATATGGCAGAGTTGGTACTCCATATGTATGTATATATATATATGTATATGTATATATATATATATATATATATATATATATATATATATATATATGTGTGTGTGTGTGTTATACCCTCATCTATCTAGCTGGAGAGCATAACTTCCGTTAATGAAGGGGTCATGTGACCTAGAGCATTGCTGCCTTTCCCATAAGCATGAGTGCTAACTAAGCTGGAAAGTGCTAAAAAACGGCAACAAAACAGCTTTAATCTTGAGGAGACATTTTTCTTTTCTTTTGTTTTCTTTTCTTTTTTTGTTTTTTTTTGTTTTAGGTATTTTTTTAAAGAGGAAGGCACCGTAGCTTCTGTGAAAGAGTTAGACTCAGATTAGATAATACATAATTACATATAATAAAGGAGTGATAGTCTGGTATTTTACATTTACAATCTTTCTGAAATGACCCTTAGATTCACATTTATTCATTTTTAGGACAAAAAAGGTATAGCTCAGGACCCTTTCTTTACTAGTGAGGGTACGTAGATGATTCTGACCTGCGTGTACGCTTGTTAATGTGGCTGTAACTTTAGGATCATTAGCGGTTAGCCAGGGTCCATTTACCATCTTTCCTGATTTCTGACACAGACTGCCTGCAGGTGAAAGGAGACAGTAGTGATGATAGCAAGTCTGGCCAATGTTGGCAACGTTCTATACATGAGAGGGCACATTTGTGGAGAAAAAAACAACTAGCCAACTTCAACTGAACCCCATAACATCCACACGCTTTAACATTAAAAAGTAACATTTCCCTGAAGCAACTGTTTTAAGGCCCAACTAACCGAGGCCCTACTCTGCCTACATCTATCATCCGAATGGGTGTGGTCTTTGCTAGGGATGGGAATCGAAAACCGGTTCCTGTTAAGAACCGGTTCCTTTTTTTTCCGATTCCATGGCATTGTTTGGCAGCTCGCTGAACGATTCTTTTTTCGATTCCCGCAGCACCAGAGCCTAGAGCGCCGGCTCTGGGGAGCACGACTTACGTCACATTTTTTACGTAAGTTACGCAACTTACGCAAGTTACGCAAGTTGGAAGAACTATTCGAGGAGGAAGACAACGAGCTGCGGTCACTTTGTGAATCAAAGCCCCGTCTTTCCTTAGCCCACAGGGTAGATCAGGAAATCCAGCTTGCCCTCCATCCCCTGCAGGGATAGCGCCACACTGTGGTGGTGGAACAAGCAAGATACGCTGCCCTTGCTATCTGCACTGGCTGAAAACTACCTCTGTGTGCAGGCTTCCTCCACCCCATCTGAGAGGGTGTCCTCCACGGCTGGAGACACCTTAAGCGCTGAAAGATCCCGTATCCTTCCAGAAAAAGCAGATATGCTCATCTTTCTGCAAAAGAACTGTTAATTTTCCCTACTACTGTTTTATAATTAGTATTTTTTGTTATTTAAAATAGGTTATTATCCCATCATTTGTTATTAGACATTGTTGGTTATTAAGTTTGTTCTTGTATTCATTTTTCATTTAAACACAGATGTTACTCCAGTTTCACATTTCCTGTGGACATCTTGATCTTGTTGAGTTTGTAAGATTGTGCAATAGTTAAGTAAACAAAGTTGATGCTGATAATCAAACTGTTTGTTCTCCTTTTTTCCCCAAATTGGAATCGAAAAAAGAATCATAAAGAATCGAATCGTTTCATAGAATCGAAAAGGGAATCGGAATCGTGAAAATCTTTTCAATTCCCAACCCTAGTCTTTGCTGTGATTGGCAGATGGATGGACCCCAAACCAAAACATGGAGAGCATTTATGGTAATAATAGTTTAGTGATATGAGGTTGAGGGTTTTTCCTCACTGCGCTCATCAGACACGGCAGAACTAATTCTGATGGCTGGCGGCTCGAGCTGCCCTGGTTGGAGCTGCTCCTTCCAAAGGCCACCAGTGTTTCAGAGCTTCCCAAGGTGATGTCATGAATATCTGTTAAACCTGGTGCACTGCAGTTGATCCAAAATCAAATGCAGCGCTCCAGGTACACCAGTAGAGGGCGCCAAACAGAGGTTTTAGACACATCCAGGAATGCAATAATGCTGAGGACATGTAGAAAATATGGTTTACAGGCAAAAAATAGGCTTTTGGGATTGATTGTCCTGCTAAAATATTTGTTTGAGTGTGCTCTCCATTTTTTTTTTTTTTTTTTGGTTTAGATTTTTTTTTTCCATGAAGCATATGAACTTGTTTTTCTCTTTTATCCTTGAACAGAATCTGTCAAAATGATTTTGCTTCTCTGAGCTCTGTCTACTCTGAGCAAGTTGCCAAAAAGGAAGAAAGTTACCTGAAATAATTTCTTTGAACATTTTTTAAGCCCAAACTAAGAGAACTGGAGATTTTTAAATAGTCCACGTTAATCTTAATTTGCTTGGTGTTTTTATGATAATAATAATTGAACTTTATTGATTTCACATTGGAGAAATTTACTCTCTGCATTTAACTCATTCTCTTGGGGAGCAGTGGTCTGCCAAAGTGTGGCGCCCGGGGAGAAATGGGGGGTTAAGGGTCTTGCTCAGGAACCCAGAGTGGAGGCTTTGAGGATCGAATCGGCTACTTGCAACCTTCTCAGAGCACAAGCGCACTGCTCTAGGCAAACACTCCCCCTCTTGACCTGGAATACCTTGAAAAGGAGTTTTGATTAATCTAAATGGGACTTTTCAGGTAAAATATCAGTGTAGCTAAAATAAACTCTAAAATAACTCTAAAAGTTGCTCTACATCCTCTATGGCTTCATGTTTCCCTGTGACCTTAGGGTTCCTCTGTTTTTCCATGGCTGTCTGCAGATTGTGATCCACAAAATGGTCATTTGTTTGTTTTTTCTCTATTTTAAGGTTTTATTTCTAATAACCAAACCTAAGGGCTGGCATACACTTATGATGTTTCAAACTTTCCTCTCAGCTAAAGCTCAACCATTACGATGAACTGCTGGGGTTAGAAGTTAATCACTCACGGTATCTGCTAAAAGACCAAAGACCGCGGCGGACTGGAGACAGCTCTGCTGGATTAGTCTATCCATAAGTAAAGTCAGATTGTTTTCACACACACTGGGAGCAAAGTTTAGTTAAATCGGGTATAGCTCTGCTTCAACAACAGGATATGCTCATCATCACCTCACAAGGGCCGACTGAATTTCAAACATGTCTGATTTCTATTCAGCCAAATGATTCCCGATCAGGAGGTGGTGTGAGAGGCTAATCCTCCCTCGTCTCCCCCTGCATACTCTAGCGCACAGCGAACGATGAGGCCTGATCCAAACTACATGAGCACAGCTGAAAAATCTGCCCAAATCAGGCCATCAATCGTTGAGTGTATGCCGGCCCTAAGCTCTATCTACTTATTGTTTTAGATAATAATATAAAAGCTTATTTCTAGTGGATCACATGCAGATGGTCTGACTAGTGGTGTGAATAGTTCCCTCGCTGCCTAACCTACACTTTAAACTTTCTTACCTTCTTGTTTCTCCCTCCTTCTCTCCCCCCTCCCCCCACATATTTTTCATTCATATGATCAACATTTCTTTTTTCACCTCATGTTTGTTTTTACTACCCTTTGTTTTCACCTCCACACCTTTGGCTCCTGAACTTCCCCTCTGCCTCCCCCTCACACCCGTTTGTTTGCGTAGGCCTGACCACTGTGGGCCACAGTCAGGGGGAAGCCCTGGATTGGTTAGAAGAAGTGGATGAAGGTGGCTCTGATTGGTTAAACAGTTTCTTCACTTTCCTCTACGGTCTGATAAACCCACTGGAGAACCGGGAGGACGAGGCGGGAGGTGGCACCGCCGGGGGAGTCATGAAGGGACACGAAGAGAATGATGATGACGATGATGACGTCCGACAGGAGGCGGCCAAAGGCGATGGAAATAACGGTCAAAAGATCATCATTGTTGGCCTCCATAACCAATAGTGAAAGGCCAACGATAGCGGCCGGGTTCACTTTTCACAAGGGGCTTGGACATCAAGAAGGGAAAACCATGCAATGTTTGACCTGCAAACCATTTAGTCAGTTCTGGCGTTTACAATACGAGCCCGCTCCTTCAGCACCCTTTTGGTACCACGTCACAATGGGGCTCCTCTCAAAGATGGCCAATAAGTACTTAATAGATGTGTTATTAAGTTGTAACACAATCAGAAGTTTTTATTATGCTTTGAAAACTTCA